TAGACTGGATGAAAATGGAAAGAAATGAGCAGAATTAAGATACATTTTGAAGAAGAAATCATAGGACTTGCTGACATGTAAATATGGAGCTTAGAAATGTGGCCTGGAGAGCTAAACCTTGGATGTGGATGAGCTACTCTATGGAAAGAGAAAGGAGAAATGGAAGGAGAGGAACATAAAGCAGAGGAGTAAGGAGAGGGCTTGGGAAACTCCACACTCAAAAGTCCAGTAGAGAAGATACCAGAGAGAAAATCAGCACATGTGGAACACATGCATATGGAAAGGTGTGTCAGACACACAAATGTCTACTGACAGATGAATGAATAAGCATTATACATGCACACAATGGAATGTTATGCAGTCTTGAAAAGGAAGAAAATTGCATCACATGTTATGGATAAATCATAAGGAAATTTTGCTGAATGAAATAAGCTAGTCACCAAAAGATAAATACTGTATGATTCCAATTATATGAGTTATCTAAAAAAATCAAACTCATAGAAAAACAAAGTAGAATGGTTGTTAGTAGGTGGTGGGGAGGGTTAATGCAATATTACTGTTGAATGGGTATAGAGTTCTAGTTTTGCAAAAAGAAAAAATTGTAAAGATCTAATGCACAAAATATGTGAATATACTTAATACTAAAGAAAGTTTAAAAGGTTAAGAGAGTAAACGTTATGTTTTTCACCACAATTTTTTTAAAAAATAAAAATAATAAAAAAAAAGAAAGGTGTTTCAAAAAAGGGATAGGTGACTAAGTTGAGTGCTGCTAACAGACCAAGCAAGAAGAGAACAGAGAATTAATATACTACTTTTTGAAGATGGTGACCACTGGTGACTTTATACACCTAACTGCAATGGTGTGGAGGAGAAAACCAGACTGAGACAGAACTAGCAGGTTAGGAAGTGGAGATAGCCCAAGTGGACAGTTCTCAGGAGAAGGTTAGCAAGAGAAAAGACTGGGGCCAGAGTCAGTAGGAACTAAGGGAGACTTTTGGTTTGATTTTTTTTGGAGAGAGAAGCCATTTAAACATATTTGAACATTAATGGAATGAGGCATTGTAGAGGGAGAAGTTGATGGGGTGGGATATAGAATAAGGAATGTTGTGCTTGAGGAAGTCTGAGGAGAAGCGGGCAGAGCTACTGAGATGGAGCGGGTTTGGACAGGACTATAGACACTTCCTTTCACCTGACAGGAGGGAAGAAGAAGGTGGGAGTACATGCAGGTCAGTTTGTGGGTTTGGAGGTTTCTATTTTCTCTTCAAAATGCCAGGTGATGTTGATAATGTATGGGGTGAGGAGAAGTTTATAAGTGCCTGGAAGAAAGCAAATGTATGTCATTAGCTATCCTGGATCATGGAAAAACAAGCCTGTCAATGAGTCACAACAAGATTAACCAACTACATGGCAGGCTGTGGAATTCTGTATTCAGTATTTTAAAGAGACACCATCATGTTTTATATTGGTCAAATCTAAGACATTCCTCTGAGAGTGGGATACATTCTAGTATTATTCCATAGTTTTCTAGCATTGTCAGAGTTTTTTCTTAGTAGTCTGTGAAGCAATGGGCATCTGATAATCAGTAGCATCTTACAGTCAGTGAAATGTGGTAACTTTATCCCTGCCAGGACCAGTTGCCTGTGTGAAGACATGGACAAGCCACTTCTTTCAGGGTTAGCTTTCAGAAACAGGATGAATAGATAACAGCTTGACAATAGCTGTCAATCACAAAGAGGCCTGTTTGAGGTCATTCATTTAATGTAATTCCAACCTCATTGTAGGCCCCGTCTCCTGAGATGATCAGCCCTGCATTACCAGCAGTGTTTTATCCAGAAACTTGGTCTACAAGGTCAATCTCTAAGGTATTTTGTCAGTTCAAGACTCTATCATAAAGTTTTCTTGTAAGGTCAACTCTCATGAAACAACAGTTCAGAATTCTTTTATCAAGGCGTCCAATATTGGATGTTCAGAAGTTGTATCTTAAGTAGAGAGGTGGTCATTGAAGAAAGGATCCAGACAGCATACATATCCATTCATGAAATATCATTTACCTACTATATTGCAAGCAAGGAAGCCTGTTAGTTTTGGGGGAAATAAAAATAAAACCTGGGACTCTGGCCTACAGGAGTTCACAGTCTGTTATGAGACAGACAAGAAACAGGGTTGTCACCAGAGGTATTCATTCCTCTCAGCACTTGTGGAGCACATGCCTATTGAGCTCACACAAAGTGTCAGGCACTTTTCATGTCCTGGAAATACAGCACCAATAAAATGCCCTCACAATCCTTGAAGAGTAAAATTAAAAAACAACATTCCCAAATATGATCATTTTTTATGATTTATGTAGCTAAAAAGTAAGTGAAATATGAGAGAGAATAATTGGGGTGGGGTGCTGCTTTTGACAGGGTGTTAGAAGTATCAACTAAGCTATTTTAGCCACAAGTAATAGAAGATCTAACAGTGGCACAAGTCTTAGGGACATTAATTGTTTTATTTTAAAAGCCCAGAGGTCACTGATCCCAGGGTGGGTTTAGTAATTCGGTGGTGTCATTAATGACCAAGTTGTTTTCCATCCTTTTCTGCCCCCATGCTAAACATGTTGGCATTTTCTTCAGACTTGTTACCATGTTGCTTCATGGTAACAAGATGGTTGCCATAGCCGCAGAGATTATCTTCTCTTATAGGTTTGAAATTCAGAAGGGAGAAAGAGGTAGTCTAGCTCTCTCATTTTATCAGGAAAAAATCCTACCCAGAAGTTTTCTCCTTCCCCAGTGGACTTCTCCCTACAATTTATTGAACACAGATGGTCCCCTGCCTATACCTAATTCAGAGGACTTACATTGACACAATTGGTTCAAAATAGCTCTGAGTTATCTAATCAAAAATTTTCGCAAGAAAGAAGACAGAATGAACTTCTTTCTGGGTAGGTAAATGGTGGCTGCCAAATCAGGGAATGCTCTCTGAGGAGGTGATGTTTGAACTGAAACCTAAACAATGATGTGGTGTCAGTCTCATGTACCATGTACCATGGTGGCACCAGGCCAGAGTAGATGGTCATGGAAGGTGAGACAGTGAAGACACTTGAGGACAAGGGTGAGGCAGCCAAGTGAAGCTGTGGTTAGAGATGGGTGGAGGCCATTGAGGCTGCGGTAGAGGCCAATGGAAAAGAAGAGGGATGTGACCCAATTTCACATTAGGCTACAACAAGATGAACAAGACAAGGTAGATCTCAACCCTGGTGAGGATGACTTCAGAGGGGAAGATTCAGATTCCAGCATCACAAAATGAATGAGTAGGTGACTGTATGCAAAAACAGCATACTCAGTTTCACTCAGGCTTTGGAGTGCACTTTCTCAAGAGACAGTTGGGTTGAATCATGACTGAGGACAAGGAGTTTGCCCACAAACCGAGGTGGGAAGGTTTTCCTAGGCACAGGGCACCGCATGCACAGAGGCCTGGGGACTTGAAACAACATGATGAAAACAGTAAGGTATTATCAATATGTATAGCACATGTGAGTCAGGGAGCATCTGGTTACCACACTGAAGTCATGATCGGGAGCTCTGCTTTGTTGGTTGATGCCAGCACTTCCCTTTTAAAAGGTTAAGAGTCAGATAATAAAAGCCACACTGGTTTACTGATTTGTGCAGTGTGATGTAGGGCTCCAGTGATCTCCAAGAACACTTCCATCTTTTACATTTCTGATCTCTAGTAGATGTTCAATAAAAGTTAATTGAACAAATAAAGTATGAACAAGCTTTAGTCTTTGCTTCTGCTGAGCATTGCTCATCAGTATGGATGTGTCTTTTCAGACGGGCCCACCTCCATATGCTCCAGGAAGTGGCCCTGGACCACCTGCCTCCATCACCATTTCCCTGGTTTAGACTCACTGCTTCAACTTTTAGCAGTGAAGGCCTTGCATGTATTTCACATTTATGTTTCTTCTCTTCTCAATTAAATTGTAACCTCTTAGTAGCCAAGGGTCATATTTTATGTCAATCAATATATCCTCAAATATATACACATCAAGGATATGAAAAGTTCAATGAATGTTACCACCTAGTGGATGAACTTGACTGGATTTCAGCCCCAAAGGTGATTCTCAATTCTCTGGCCACTCCCTAGAAGATCCCGAGCAATCCATGAAGCAAAATCAAGGTGACAGAGCACTGAGATTAAAAATGAGGGTGCCTCTCCCTATGTTGCAAGAACTTCTTAGGGAAGGTTTTAAAATGTGTTGTACCCTAGATAAGCCAGAGTGAGTTTTTTTAAAAAATTGAAATATGGGTTTGGGAGAGATGGAAAGTCCATGAATGCCTAAAAAAAAGGAAAAATTTTTTGAGTGTTCATAAGTTAGAAAGATATATTACTGTGCATGTTGCTTTCCAAGTGCCTTCCTCTTGTGTCAGTAGAGCTTAGGTTAAAAAAAAGTTCATAAATTTCAGGCACTAAGAACAACAGAGTCATTTTACTCATGTTAAACACAGGTCAGCAGGTCCTTGGGCTTACCACAGTCACTCAGGGACCCAGGCTGATGGAGTAGCTACTATTTTCAATTGTTGGTCACCGCACCAAAACAGCTGACATGACCCTATCGAATCACAAGGAGGTTAGGAATTGCAATGCCCCTTTTTGCCTGGAACTAGAGACAACCAGAAAACAATTAGAGAACCATACTACCATAATCCCTATGACCAGAAAAGCAGACAAAGACAGAACTCCAAATATAAGCTGGGGTGTTTTCCATGTCCCGTTTTTACACCCATGCAGATTCGTAGGGATGTTAACAGCCATGGCTAAGTACCACAAATCTCATGCCACCACCATAGTCCTGGATCCCTTGCCAAAAAAAAAAAAAGGAAGCCTTTGCTCTTTGTGAGAGTGTGTGTGTCACCCAGTGTGTGACTCATCCATTCTCCCCCACTGTGCCCCTCCCACTGCAGGAGTTTCTTCCACGCAGAACTGGTCTGTCAGGCTGCAGGGCCCCTGCATGTGGGGCTGGCTGCCTCCGCCTGGGAATCTGCCATTCAGGACTAAATCGACAGCGATACAGGAACCCAGCCTGCTGATTTGTGGCACGATACGATGAAGGAAAGCTACTGACGCCAGCTCTTGTCTCAGCTGCCAGGGATCGGGGCAAACTTGCTGGTGACTTCTTGTTGACTAGCCACAGTGAGTAGTCCCACGTCGTCCTTCTCCTTCAGTGACTTTCTTTGGAGACAAATTTCAGAAATGAAAAGCCAATTGCAATTCTACAATTTTGAGGCTTTGTAACTTGGGGTTTAAAAACATATGAAATGAGTAAAGGTTAAAAAACAATTTGCTAACTTAGAGGCACTTTACATAATTCAATAATAGCACTAATCTGGTATGAAAATATATTTTTTAATCTATTACTGTTGTTCCTCTGACCCCATCCAAATATCAGAGTCCAAGACATTTGAACTTTTGAAGGAATTTTCTTTTGTTGACATTCTAAAATTGATGGGTAAATACTGAGGCTAATTAACTGTTTTTTTTTAAATAATTTTTCCTCATAAACTTTGTAATGTTTTATCTACAATTTTGACTTATTTACAAGACATAAACAGGTCTAAAGTCTCCTTGAAAACAGAGGAATATTTTTACACCTTCACAAAAAAATCCTGCACTTTCAGCAACCTACAGCATTAAGAATCCTTGACCCTAGATGTTATTTTTCATAGACCAGTCTTTCTCAAGATAAATGTAAACTTTGGGGAGATTTCTCTTGGTTCATAAGCTTGTCTGTATTGTGTTATTCTTTGTACTTGGGGAGAGAATGGCCAAATGTCTATATTCCCATTGGTTTTCATATCATTCTTTAAAGTATTTTTGTAACTGGTACCTAACTCTTTCCCTTCCTTTTTATGAAGGATTCTTTGTCAGTATTTGTTGAGTGTAAATTTTGAAAGTTCAGTTTTGCTTAAAAAAATTTATCCTTTGGATTATAACACAATATGTTTTCCTCTCTAAAGTTACAGATAAAGAGTGAGGCTTGAATTAATCTCATATTATTTTTGGTTTATTGAATTTACTCTTTCAAAGTTCATTCAGATTCTTAGAGTTTGGGAAAATTGACTTATTTGCAGCTCAGATAAATGATTTCAGTTATTTGTAGCTGGACAAATGATTAGCCTTAAAAGACTGTAAAACTTGTATTTTGTGACTTTAAGGATTGTATCCTAAGATCACCCAGACCCAAATCTCTTTTCTACAGTATTTGCATAATGCAGAGTTATAGCATCATTGTCTCTATGCAAAATGAATGAAAATTGGTAAACAGAAACCAAAACTCTTATCCAAAGATAATGAGAACAGTGGACAGCTCCAAGCCCAATGACAGCTTGGTCTTTTCAAAAACTGGACTTGGTTGCAGAGGTACAAGGGTTGGGGGTGGAATTCTTTTGCACTGAGCCTGGCAATAATGGAGTGTAAGGTCTATAGAGCATATTTCTAACTATGGCAAAAAATAGAACCAATTAAAAATCAGCCTGCCTATTATAATCATCATGTTCTGCTCATTCTAAACCATGTCACTGATAAAAACACTTCTTGCCACTGGGGCAGACCATGTGCAAATTCCCTTCCCTCCCCTTTGGGTACTGCACCTGTGTCGTGTAGGATTTGACTTAATTCATCAGTGGAAAAATGGTCTATTTTAGAATACAGTAGCTACTTCCACAAAACCATAGCTTAGCATGTTGTCCCATGATCTTTAATCCCATTATCTTGGAAACTTATGGACTCTGTTTGTTTAAAATATGTATTTCTCAATGTAATCTCCATCTCTCAAGCCAATGATTCCCATTTTCATATTTATTTAAGGATTAGGTTTTCAAACCTTATTGCTTCTGCATATCATTCTTGAAACTTTTGATTTCAATGAACAAGCTCCTAAGTTACACTATTTTAAGCCCCAAATGTGGTTTAGTTATAATGGTATCAGGGTATGAAATATGGGGTCCTGTGAGTTACCAGGACCCTCTTTGTATCTTTGCCCTTGTGGCGTCGGCCCCATTTTGTCCTGGCCGTCCTACTGCCTGCAGTCAGACTGCCCTCTGTCACACATTGTTACCACCCGAGGCTGTTTTCAGTTGTGTGTGCTAATATCACCTGGGGAGTTTTTATGAAAAGCCTGTTCATCCCTGAATTGTAATGATTAGTACAGTCTGTGTGAAGAGGTATGTAGGTCTCCACTGTACTCTGCTTTCAACTTCTCAGCAGTAATGAAGTTATTCAAAATATAAAGTTTTGGGGGCAAAATCTTAGTGTCCAAAGCCTTACCACCAGAAAAGTGGATTCAGTGGCCCTGGAGTAGGGGCCAGGCTGGTAGTTGTTTTAAAAGCTCCTCTGGGAATCCTAATGAGCAATCAAAGTTGGAAATTGCTGTTACAGGGATTCTGTATCCTTCAGCTTCTCTGAAAGAGAAAGGGTCCCTTTTTCGCCCAAGTTTGACAATTCCTGGGGTAGTCTGGGAGGCCCAGCTTGAATCATCTGCTGACTACTAACCCAGGCAGCAAAGGTGAGGCACACCATTCAGAATGGCTGCAGGCACAGTAAAAAAGGCAGGTAAGCACTTTCCAGATAAGCATGGAGGGGCTGAGAGGACAGTTAGACAAAATGAATAACAACAGCAACAACGAAGTATCCAGTGTACTCCTCCAACAGAAATGCAAATTGAGTTCTGAACTGCTAAATCTGAGAACATCTGGCTATTGATAAGCTAAAGCCATCATTTGTTACTATAGTGATGTTTCAAATTATGCTTTTTAAAATGATGGAATGATAGAGAATTATTCTTTATAAGTTTGAAAGTTTGTTAGCAAAATACAAATTAAATATATCAATATTTAATAACAAAAATAAAAACTCTGTCCCTGGCAAAGTGGGCCTTACAAATTGGTATGCATTACATAATATATGTTAATAAATACCACTAAAGAAGGTCATCTCTAGGCCTAATGTTCCCATGTAGCAGGTATGCATTTTACTTAATAACACATCTGGTCTTTACAATTTCCCGTGTCCCAAAGGAAATTCTCTACATCAGTTAGTAGGTTCTGAGTCACCACCCCCTTCCCAACTATCTTGCAGGAAATTCTACCTCAACTTTGTCTTTGAAGGGGCAGCCTCTTGCCAAGGGTCTGGCAAGAATTCTGAGAGCCTTACAATTTCAAATTGTCCTGTAGTTGGAAGAGAGTGACACCGTCACTTCTGTAAAAGCTTGGGCATAGAGACCTTTTGTGACAGTCCCTATCACCAAGGACCTCAGGTTTCCTGTCTTCCTTACACCCTGGTTCTCCCACAGATGTCCTGTCACTGTCTAGGGGCATTGGGTTGTCGATGACCATGGAGTCTCTTCTTTGGAAGAATGGTTTTGGTGCTGAAAAGCAGGAGATGTATAAGCTGATGCAAAAATAAATGGTGACATTTTTCTAGCTAGTTCTGGAAAAAGAACTGGGCTTTCTTAGCAAAACTGGACTTTTTGGAGAAAGAAAGGCTCTGTGATTTTTAAGGGAATCAGAGTAGGAAGAGAGAGGAAGAATACTTGAAGATAGATGAGGAGTTTTCCAGGCCTTGGGAAGTGGCTGAAACTGGGTCTGCCCCAAGCCGTCTTTGCTTATTGAGACAATAAAGTATTGATGTGGTCTCTGTGGACCTGAGAAGTAGAGAGAAAAGTGGGGCACAGACGTTTCAGTGTGCGCAAGGCAGGGCCAAGTACTGAGACCCAAAGCCCAGCAGAAGCTAGCATAGAGGGAGGCTTATCTTTGCATGCCTCTCTCCTGTTGCTGATGTCAGAATATTATCATCCCTGGGGAGAAAGGAAGAGGAAAAGAAAGAGGAAATGCTGAATTGATCAAAAGAGACCTAATTTAGACTGATAGTTGATGAGTTTAACATGCATGGGAAAATTTTCCATCATTGGCTCAAATAAGGAATCCAGTGCAAATTTAATTTGGTTATACTGCAAAAAAAGTCACTCTGTTTCATGACTGCTAAATGTGTACTACTACACATTATCATCATGGTCTTTGCATACTTGTCCTAACTATAGACTTTAAGTACCGATTCTTCCTCAGCTGGTTGATCCAGAAAGCCAGCTTCCCTCCCAAATGCTGGCTGTACCTCTGAGATGCCTGTCCCTTTCACTGGAGCCCAGCGTGTCTTAGTTCTCCTTGGCTGTGGTTCTCCTTATGGAGCCTTATGTCTTGACAACCACTTCAAAACTTACTTGGTGTAAAAGTCTCTTCCTGCCCAAGAACCAAATTGTAAAGAAATTGCTCTTTGAATAGAAACATTGATGCTTTGGCTATTCTCTTGTTCATTTAATGTGGAGAATGAGAGTAAATTAATATTTTCTGACATTAAAAGATTAAGAGAGTTTGCCACTCAGAAACCTTCATTAAAAGAACTTTGAAAGGATACAACCCAGTAAGAAATGAAGTGAATGGGGAGACAGGTATGAAATATAAGAAAGAATGTGAAATGCAAGGCACTAAAGGATAAAAGGTGTCTTTTTTTTATTGAACTGATGAAAATATCCTTTCAGGTTTAAGAGTTAGATAGTTCCTTGTTTTTATATTGTTTTATATTTTTGAAGATCAGCTTGGGGGACATTTTCTCTTTCTATTTAAACTGGCAAATAATTAGTCATGACTCTTTCATGTACATGAATTATGAATAAATATTTTCATATATTATATAAATGAGAGAGAATACCAAATGTCAAATGAGATAAAGTTCACAAAATATCATAAAACTGCTTCAAAAGTAACCTGATACTCCAATTTACCACCTAATTAAAAGTATCTGGTTGAATAAACATTTATATTTCATTGTGATTATTAAGGTACTGAGTCAAGAAGTCCACATTTTTAATCCTTTTACTGCTGTGCTGATCAGAGGAAAGATGCCATTTAAAATTTCCTACTTTAATATTCTCATTTTGCAAAAAGAAAACAAATTATCACTTATCAATGAGCATAATTGAGGATTTGTACTATATAAATAGTATAGACACACATATATCAGAAATCATTCTCATGTGATGAGCTGTCATATATTTTTATCTTATAACAGTTACTTTATAACTGTTATGCACTTTTTTACACTGGGGTTTTTCACTTCTGAGTCTTCACTCACATGAATGATATAGTTCTGGGATGCTTTTGCAAAAGTAGTAAGCATTGCAGCTTGATGTGTCCCACTGTTATCAGTTAGGGATAACAAGGTGGGGTTTTTTTTTAAGATTTTTATTTTATTTATTTTTAGAGAGGGAAGAGAGGGCGAAAGAGAGAGATAGAGAAACATCAATGTGCAGTTGCTGGTGGCCATGGCCTGCAACCCAGCCAGGCATGTTCCCTGACTGGGAATCAAACCTGCGATGCTTTGGTTGGCAGCCTGCGCTCAATCCACTGAGCTACACCAGCCAGGGCACAAGATGGTTTTCATATAGTAAAAAAAATGCTGAAGTCCATTGAAATCTGAACAATGGTAGAAGTGCTTCAGGTGAAAATTTGCATTGATGGAAATACATAAATCTTGAAACAAATTTTTCCACCTAAATGCAACTTAAATATCAGCTCAACTATCTCATTTACTTCTCTTCATTTTGAGTCATACTTCTCCTTCTGTACTTCCTCCCTCGACTAATATTATCCAAGTTCTCCTAGATGCTTATTCTAATATAATCAACATCATCCTTTGCTACATTTCCCATATGCTTTCTTCCCTAAACTTTTGCTTATTTTTCTAAATCCAGTCTTTTATAGTATAGACACTTCACTCCTTTTTCTGACTCATTTGGTCATGATAACTTCTGAATCCTTCCCCCTGCCGTTTCTGAGGTTCTGGACCTTGTTGTTGATCACCTGGATGAGGAACGGCCTCTTCACTGGATCCTGGTGCACACTGTAGCCTGGAAGAGAGAATGCCCAAAAAGAACCTTAGCCAGAGGACAGCAGTCACTGTGGATGGTGACCCTGAGGGAGCACATACTCCCCATGTCCCAATTCTCCCTGCTCTCCCTAACCTGCTGATGACTTTCATTAGAAGAACCCAACTGAAAGCCAGAAGTAGGCTCAGCCCTGTTACTGAGATTTTGTTAAGTGTCCAGTACCAGAAATGACTCAATTTTTCTGGGTGGTCTAAACTAATAGCAGATGTTCTTGGTCTCTGTATTGTTTCCCTGACCTGGGTTGCTCTGGAGTCTTTATTTCCATCAGAGAAAGTCAGTCCCTGTTCCTTTTCCCATTTACAGTGTGTCTCCAATACCCAATTAAAAAATTGTCTAGTTAGAAGAGGGAAAACAAAAGGATTACTGCATTTTTCTTTGCTTTAGATTTCTGGGTACTAGTGGAGTTTCTGGACCTTTTTTTCTACTCTATCATCTGACTAAAAGGGTAAAAAGAAAAGGACAGTAAGGGTTAGGAGATGTGCCCTACTTCTACATGCTACTCTAGTTCAAAATTTTCACTTTCTTTCTTTTAGCAGTTTTGAAGTTATTCCCTTAAATAGCACTGTTTTTTTCTCATTTTCTTGCAAGTAGTGAAGTTTTCACTGGTTTTCAATATTTTGTTAGTGTTAGATGAACTCTTCTATGATTGATTTCCAGCCAAGCATCTTAACTGAGAAATCCCACTGATGTTTTTTCAATGGATATTGTATATTTTACAGAGCATCTTGGTGACTGTTCTTCCCATTAATACTCTAACATTATAATATACTACTACCTGATACTGATATGTTATCAAAGCTCTGCATACATGTTGTTTTAATGTTTGTGTAATTTTAATATCAATTTATCTTACTTTCTATCCATTTGGTGATTGTTTGGCATCTATTTTGTTTCCATATTCCTATTTTTGCTACTTTATATGCAACTGCCATCATTGAGCGGCATGCCATGCTTTTCTTTTGTATTTGGAGGTTTCTGTGTGACAAAATCCCAAAAGTTGTGCAGCGTTGCAATAGTTTGGGTTTCCAAATATTGTATACCATTACAGACTTTTAAATTTACCCTGGAAGCCTTTAACTGTCGGACTGGATTCTCTCTTGGTTTTGTGGTGACTGGAGAGGTCCTCAGGCACACCTTTGCCCAGTGTCCGATGTAGATGCCACATGCGCTTGCTCATTCCCATTTGCAAGTTACCTCCCAGGTGTGAGGGCTCACCATTACTCATCATTGCTGGAAACCCGCATGCAAAAGAAAAAAGTATCCAGTTCCAAAGAGATTTAGAGAAACTGGTCAAGGCCCAGGGGAACCAATGAAAATTATTTCAGGTTTTAAAAAACTGCACTTCTGGAGAAAAATGGGGATTTATTTAAACATATGGGTAGGTAGCTCTGTGGATATGGTTTGGAACATGGAGAATCATACTTGCTCCCAAGATAGGTCAGTGCCTAACTTTCTGCTGTTGGAGAGGTTACCTCTAGAAAATCCTTGTTAAAATCTACACTTACTTGAAATGACTAAAATAAAAAAAATAGTGTTCACGTACACATGACTGATAGCTTATTGGATTAGTTAACTCTTCCTTCTTGGCACTCAGGAGTTCTGAAAGATCCAAGAAAGGAGGCCCTTGTTATGGGAAAGATTGCTTCAAAAGAGCTTTGTCCAATAAAAATATTCTAGACTGGAGCCAAACAATTCTAGACTGAGACCCTGAGCATCTGGACACAGCATGGGAGATGATCCAGGATAAAAACAGAAGGAATTCTGAAGGCTATTCTATTTAGTGTGTAAATTTCTTTACAGTCATTTAAACCTAGATATCTCTCCTTGCCCCACCCCCATCTCACTCTCTGTGTCTCTCTCAGTCTCTGAGTGTATATGGATGGATGGATGGATGGATGGATGGATAGATAGATGACAGATAGATAGATTTGGTTAGAGATTGTGATCTGCCCTTTCACATTTCCAATGAGTACAGAAAGAAGGAGGACAGGGATGGAACAATGTAGTTCTACAAAGCCCTGGATCAGGGGTCCAAAGAGAGTCAGGTTCCTCCAATAATTTGGGTTGTAAGCTTGGGAAAGCCACTTACTATCTGGACAATTTCCTCTTTGATAAGAAAAGGAAAATGGTAACTTCTCTGCCTACCTCATAAAATCTTGTGTCAAGGTAAAAGTTAAATGTGAATATGTTCTGAAAGAATTAACCCCATACAGAAATCAGCTCTTTATTATTTTAGAAAAACCACGTGACATAATGAAAAAAGTCACAAACCTGGGTTCAGATCACAAATGTGCCACTTAGTACCTGTGAGGGTGAGCAGGGTCAACTTTTAGCCCTTTATTTTAGAACATTGTGGAAATGACTTCAGTTGCACAGAATTACTTGATGGCATTAAAAGGGCTAATGTGGACACAGTGCCAGACACACAGTAAACAAACAATAGTTATTTGTTATATTCTCTTTCCTTCCATAATGTCTGCATTCAGGCAGAAGGGATGGGACTGGTCATTTGGTCATTGACCAGAGGTGAACTAGTGGGATGGTTGAATAATAGACATTATAGAATCTTTCACCCCTGAGATCATCTCATGGGTGTCCCCACAGTCTGTCTGAGAACTCTGATAGCATTTTGTGGATCTCACTTAGAGCCTCAGGAATTCATTACAAAACCTAATTATGCAAGTGGTAGCCTCAGACTGTCAGCTGACAAAGCTGGTGATTGAAGTGCTTTTGGGTGGCTGATAAAGTTCTGTCTAGAGTTTTGTTTGCCTTTGTTTGTGAATGCTGTGATTGCTAGGCCAATAATTTCTTTCTAATTAAGATCGAAGAGTTCAAGTTGTAGAGCTTCTTTTTAGTTGTCTTTTTTTTTCCAAAATCACCTCATAAATTGCTCTGGTCTCTAGCATTTATGTGGGTAAATGTGTACTTAAATTAAGCAAATGTTTGTTCTGAGGGAGCCAGCCACAGAACACACGCCACTCATGTTTTATTTCTGCCAGTTTTGTCTTTCACTAGTGATCTGTGCCAGTTGCCAGCCAATGATATGGCTTTGGGTAGAGGAATTCGACATGGAGATAGAAGACATACCTTGAATTTAAATTGCATAGAAAGATGAGAATTGTTTTGTAGGACCTGGAACTTTGGAATATTTCCTATCATGTCTGTTACACTAGCTTTGACACTGAGGGTCTACAGGTCATTAGGGAGCAAGTCCCATCCAAGTTCCCAATCCACTGGTGGTGCCTCAGTAGCCCCATCACACTGTGACTTCTCTGAGGTGGTAAGGGGGCAGAGAAGAAGTTACTCTTATTTAATTTCTAGCTGTTAAGACATTGCTCGGAAATGAGGGGCTCATTTTCTCTCTGCTGAATAAACACATCAATGAACACCTTAACCACCTTTGTCAGATTTGGGAAGCAGGTAACAGAGAATGGTAAAACATTCTAGGTTGGATGGTTGGTGACATCTCTTTGCAATGTGATCATTGTATACTTTGCTCCTCCATTGTTCTTTTATAAGGGAGGAAGTGAAGCAGTTCTTAATTTAAAAAAAATCCAACACTTTGTATTTGGCATATTTTACTTTGCAAAATTTCAGTGCTGATATAGTTACTCTTCTTCCTCTTCTTCTCCTTCTCCTTCTCCTTATTCTTTGGTGTGAGTTACCAGAGGTGACAATTTTTTTAGATTGTATGTTTTTGAAAAATGAGCTTTTTCTGAAGTGAATGTCTCTGATGAATGTTTTGGCCTAGGCTACATGGAACCAACATTTCAAACACTTGTTTGAGAAGGAAGAGTTATACTCCAGCTACCCCTGCATTTCAGAAACGTGTGGGCTGACCTGGGAAAGGAGGTATGAACCATTAGAGACCTATGGCTTTTCAAACCAAAATGGGGTCAAAGGTTCTAGGGGTGTGGGGAGACTGAGGGGTCAGGAGATCGGGTCTGTGCTACTGTACCCTTTTGCTTCATCTAAACATTCCACTGTCATGGAACTGAAAAAAAGAACTAATGTGAAAAAAAGATTAATATGAACATATCTGGATGAAAATGGTTCTATTTAAGTTCAGATTAAAATATGCCACTTTATTTAAAGAGCAGTTTTATAAGCAACATCCAGAGTCAACCTTAGCAAATATTTCTTCTAGTTAAAAAACTGAAATAAAAGTTAAATTTGCACTAAAAATGAAACAGCAGACATGGATTGTAAAAACCATATTAGAAAATTCTGGGTAGCAGCATAATTATCAAAACAGGCCATTCCACAAAATCTAGTGAAGGTCATCCCCACATAAAACACAAAGTGCTTATTTTATCATACAGGGAGACATAATTTTGGTAATAATCAAAAAGCATTTTGATAAAAATGAAAATTTCACTATACTTACAATTTAAAACAAAATGACAATTAATAAACAAAAAATTCTCAGTACAACATCTTAAACATTTTAAGCAAACAGAATGGTTTTCATGTTGATTCATCAACCTTAAATAATCATTCAATTCCTCCTCCATTTTTTTTAAGATTTTATTTATTTATTTTTAGAGAAGGAAGGGAGGGAGGGAGAGAGAGAGAGAGAGAGAGAGAGAGGAAGAGAGAGAGAGAGAGAAAAACATTAATGTGCGGTTGCTGGGGGTCATGGCCTGCAACCCAGGCATGTACCCTGACTGGGAATCGAACCTGCGATACTTTGGTTCGCAGCCCGTGCTCAATCCACTGAGCTACGCCAGGCAGGTCCTCCTCCATTTTTTAAAAAATGTATCTATTGAGTATTGGGCTGAGTACTGCTAACTCCATGAGAGTTTGTTGTCTTGAATCATTCCTTAAATCACTTTTTAAAATAACTTAGTTAAGAGAAAGAGCATTCTGTATGATGGAAATTTTAATATACAGTCAATGCAATTCAGAAAACATGGAATCATGCTCAGATTTCTTGAGAATTGTGTCAACAAATTCATCAGTTTTAATTGTTTCCATTTTTATGATTTTACCCAGTAACTGCTTTGGTGATGATTCTTATAAGTCACATTCATGATTTGCATCCTGAAATTTCCATCCATTGAATGACTGAGATTGGAATAAAGCAAGCAAACATGACTGTCATTTACTTAAAATTTTGTGACCACCTGGCTTGCTACTAAATTCTTTAAAAGTGCTGATCAACAAAGTGGTCCCTTTGCTTAAAGAACTATAGACCTTCAGAAAGCTGCATTGATAATAAGCTGAAACAGATAATACAAAATATTTTAAATAGTCATTGAATTTCAGTGGAATTTCAGCTAGGCAAGTATTTCAACTGAAGAGCCATGATTTAAATATACACTTTGCCTAATCTTTAAAATAATGTCATTGCTACAGAATTATGCATGATTGGGATCAAGACTATTCTCTTTTGGCTAAAAATGGTCAAGTAGCAAATATCAACCATTACGAAGTCCCTGACCTTTGCTGGTGACATCCAAGCCTTCCAAATCATTCTGTCTGAAAACAAAGAAACAGCGAATGCCTTTCAAATGGGTTCTCACTCAGGATAAAAAATATTAAAATAATTAAAGTTTAGGATTGAAGTTTTCAACTTATGTGATTCCTCTATAGAGCATAGACCTGATGAAAATTGTCAGCTCTTCCCAATCACCTTCCCCCTCTTCCTCCTTTCTTCTTCCTTTATTGAATATATCATGTTCCTGCCACATGTCCAGCACTGTTCTAGGTGACACGGCATCATTTTGATGTCAGTTTTGGCAGAAATAAGTTGCTTCCTATCTAAGAAAATAAAGCTCCAGGGTTAGGTGGGAATGAGGGATAATAGGCCAAGCCAGGTGCTTACTCTCCTTAAAAATATATTTCTAGACTGAGTCTGCACATAGGAATTTCAACTCACATTTCACCAGAGCCACCCACACATTTCTCAGCCCTGCCTAACCCGGAGAGTGAGCCATCATTCCCATCCTCCGAACCTGGGTTGTTATTTATTACACCTGGGCAGGTAGCTGCCCTCAGAGGGATTTTCCCAGGAGGCATCACATGCAAGCCCACAGAAGATGATTGCTGGAGGATATCTCAGCAAGTGCTTGTGCCTCCCAGCGCCAGCTTATGCTCACGTGCAGCTTCCTGGAGAAGTCTATGGATGGGAGACCCCAGGGAGGGTGGCCACCTTGGAAGCAGGGACTTCTTAGTAGACAGCACTAAGGACAGAACCCACTCTCATAGGCTGACTGAATCTGCAATGGCAATGAATTTTGAAATCTTCAGATTGGAAACCTTTTGTCTTTTCATTTATTTTTATAGAAGCCAGAAAGGCAGCTGTGTTGAAGACAATGACTCATATGTTTTTGCTGTGCTGCTTAGTGTTTCTTTTGCCTACAGAGTCCTGTAGGACATTATGCCAGGTAAGAGAAGGGAGGTGGGGAGATGATATGGTGGGGACATGAAATGGAAACTAAAATCCAGTTCTATGTCATCTGAGCTGAAAGGTACAGAGAACATGGTGGTAGAACGGTTCAGCCAGAAAAAAATTGCAACTAAAACATGCAACCAAAACCCATTTTAGCAAGAGCTGAAATTTATTTTCCCATCAACTTTTTCTGTATATTCCTGATTTGCAATGAGGCTCAAATGATTTAAAGGTGATAAACTCTTCTTTCTATGTCCCTTGATGATGAAGCTTTCAGTTGCTTATAACTAGGGCAGTGCCACTTCCTCAGGTGCACTTGGAAATGTGGGTGTGGTGAGGGTGTCACACTGACTGGAAGATATTTAATGGCATTTCGTGTGGGCAGGCCCTAGGAATGGTCTGCCACAGTGAAGCATTGTCCCACACCAAATGGTGTCTCCTTTGCAAAACCTGAGAGTGATCATCATGGGTGGGCTGGAAGGAGCAATGACAAAATCAGACGGTCAAGGCTCGGCAAGGTCTAACTGGGATGGAGTTTGTAGCAATGTACTGTCTGTACATTTTGTGGGGCAGTGAGTGCTATGGCTCTCTCTGGAATAGTTTTCCTCATACTATATGTCATTTTAATTTCTCTATTAGTTACTTATTTAAATTAAGGTGTGGAGAATCAGAGAGAGAGATAGAGAACAAAAAAGAAAATATTATTATTGGACCACAAGATCTGAAAGGGAGCTTTGAGATCAACTAGTGAAGCCAGCTCCCTTATTTTATCAACAGGAAAGCTGAGGCCCATGTTGTGGAATGTGACTTGTTGAGGTAACATTCCCATTTAGCTAAAGGGCAAGCCCAGGACACCTGTCTTCAAATTCTTAGTTTCTTGATCTTTCCATTTTAATATGTACCTTCTTAAGAAGAGCCTCCTCAAGAAAAAATGACTTTGGAAATTCTTTCTAAGAGTTTCCAAGTGATACTTACTTTACTTTCTGAGTACTTTGTCTTTGGGTGGAACTTTTCCCAATGAGTCCCCTTCCCCCTAACACTGAGCTGGTCCCTAGTTTCTGGAAGAGATTAAACAGAGACTTCTTCAGAAAGGCCTTTCCCAGGCAGCACCCCAACCCCATTTCCTACTGTCATTTTCTCCTCCATGGTTTTCTACAAGACAGAACTTGAAGAGTAATCAGAATGTTGAAGGTTAGCTTCATTTTCTTTATTATTTGGGATCACCTTACTAGGACATTCGATCCTTTTGTTTTTACTAAGCAAGTCATGGATGTTGAGCTTCTGGGTGCTGCTCCTCCCCTGACCTGCCTACTCCCTCAGGCAGCTCTGCAGGTTTAGCAGATGGCAGGTTTTGAAGTGTTTGTTTGTTTGTTTGTTTTAGTATTTGTTTGAGGATTGTTGATATCTGAAGCTAACATAGCTCATATCAGATGCCACCCTAGATATGAAATGACCAGGAGTTGTATATAAGTGTACTTTGGCAAATTAACTAGCAAGAAGTAAATCAGGTCCTTTACTGAAGAAGGCAGAGTTTCCAGAATTCCTTGTAAATAGCATACCACAGCGGTGTGCCCACATATCTGACTAGTATAATGTGACTTCACTATAGTTCATTTAATGTGTCAAGAGTTGTCTACTCTTATATACTTTATTGTGGTGTATTGGAGACCATGGCCCTCTCAAGATGATCTTAGGGTTTCTTGAGATGCTTGTACTTCCATACACACCCCTCTACCTTCTTCACTTGGTCGTGAGTTGACTTGGTGGAAAAAGCAGTGTTGCAGGAGTTAGGAGAGCTGAGTTCTAGTCCCAGCTCGAAGAGGAACACCCTGTATGGCCTGGTATGAGTCACCTCATCTATCCAACACTCACTTTCCTTATCTGTAAAATCAGGGGGTTGGACTGGTTAGTCTATAAGGTCTTTCAGAACTCCAAAAACATTATTTTAGTGTTCTTGTTTAGTGAAAGGCCTTTACTCTTCCATATATACAATACAGCTTGATTCTCTTGATTGAGAAATGAGAAAGTCATCTTACATCAGCATTTTGAAGGACATTGTGTTCCATGAATCAGAGATACCTTCCTCACTTTTGACAAACACCAAATGCTTAATCAGGTTCCCCATAAACTCTCATTTGGTAGAGAAAACAGAAGATTCATCTTGATAACATAGAAAGAAACAGTATTGTGAAGAAGAAAGGAATATGAACTCAAGTGTTAGTCACATAGCCGTGTCACTGAACATTCAGTTCCTCCCCAATGACTGAGATCTAGGAATGCAAGTCAGAGTAATTGTACCAAGGCTCTTTCCAGCCACTAGAGGGCAAACTTCTGGTGCAAAAGCAGGAAAATATAGACTCACATTCCACACACGTGTGCACATACACACAAATGTGCCAGTATATACATATGAATATATAGACATATATATACACACACATATGTACTGATGTAATTACTTAGGGGGATATAAAGAAGCACAATACACAATCCATGTTCTTAAGGAACTTTTAATTGAGAAGCTAACACACATATGTACAAATAATTAGATAGTGAGACAGCAGGTCAGGTGAGTACATGCCAAGTGCTGAATGAGTGGTATGGTGGTATGGATAATAAATTTTACAGGAGCCAGAGAAGAAAAGATGTGTCATTTTGAATTGGATTAGGAAAAACTTCTTAGAGGAGACAAACTTGAGCTTTGTATGTAACAGACATGCAGTGAGTCCATTTTTGGAGAATAATAATGATAGCTAAATCTTAAACACCACTTACAATATTACAAGCTCAGTTCAAGTGTTTTTCATGCATGATCTCATTTATTCTTCATAAAAATCATCTGAGGCAAGATTATGGAATTATAGTACTAGAATTCCTACCCTGCTTTATGGATGAGGAAACTGAGCCTCAGGAAGATGAAATTTCTCAAGGTGTCAAGTGGCAATATTGGGATTTGAATCCAGCCATGCTGTTTCCAGAGTCATCCCTTGATCATAATGTGACACTGCTTTTCAGCATCATACAGATGGGTGGGGAAGAAAGGGACTTCTAATCAGGAAAGGTGGGAATGGTTGTGATAAGGGGAAGCCAAGTTTTGGGGAACTCCTCTTTAAAAAAAGGATGTACAATTATAAATACAAAATTTATGGAAAAGGGAATATTTAGTTTGGATCAGAAAAAAAGAATCATTCAATAATTGTTTAGCATTATTTTGTAATAAATTCAATAAAATAACAACATTTTTATTAATGAAAACCCACATTTTTGTTCCTACATTTCTGACTGCATACTTGTATGTCAAAATTTTATAATATTTTTTCTATAGAGAGAATAGAGAGATTATTCAGTCTTTCATCTAGCATTGCTGATTAATTTTATTATTCTAGTTTAGAAAAATAGCTTTCAGTTTCTCAATTCATTATTAGTAAGGCCATGCAAATGTGTAGAATTGTTGTCAAATTTGGGGAAACCTCTTAGCAAGTTTCTTTCATATATGACCTATAAGGTTTCAGGGCACTTACAACTTTCTTTTTCTGTGACTAATTGTAATTACTCCTGGAATCAATGCCACTTAAGTATTGATGTCCTCATTGTAATGCAGGAATGACAGCAAACTATGTAAGTACTATTAAACCCAAGCTGAGTGTGTCCCCAACTCAGCTTCTACTTGTCCAGATTCCGTAAATAGCTGCAGCCTCCCTGGTGCTATCCAAAATGAGGAAGAGTGTGAAGGAGGGGAAGTTGGACTGGGGAAAAATAATGGTCTGAACAGATGGTGGTTAAGCAGTTTTGTTTTTAAAAATTTAATAAGACAGGCCTGGTGGTGTGGCCCAGTAGATTGAGTGCCAGCCTGTGAACCAAAGGGTCACTGGTTCAATTCCCATTCAGGGCACATGCCTGGGTTGCAGGCCAGGTCCCCAAGGTGGGGCATGGGAGAGGCAACCACACCTTAATGTTTCTCTCCCTCTTTCTCTCTCTTCCTCTCTGTCTAAAAATAAAAAAAATAATTAATCTTAAAAAAATAATAGAACATTTGATCATATGAATCCATTGCTAGGTCCTCTCTCAGTGCTTTGAGGGGCCCATACAAGCAGTGGGTTCTGAAGCATAACCTGCATTAACTTCCCAGTGAATCCACCTATGCTTACAATGTATTTCTTATAGTAGAATGCAGTTCATCCCCACTAGAAGGGAAGGAGGGCTCCTACTGAATAGCAGTGGAAGAGATAGCTGTCCAGACAAGCACTCATGGGGTCCTGGGACATGCTTCATGGTCTAAGCTTTGGGTGGCGTCCTGGCATTTTAGCCAATGAAGATGTGGCTGTTGGTCCGTGACTAAAGTAAATAATTGGGCTAGAACATCACTGATGGATTTTGATGTGAATTTTGATTTTCCCTCTCTAGGCTGCCAGACAAAGCAAGGAGGAAGTGTCTGCCAGAACACATGGTATGTAGTAGTTACTATCAAATGAGAATTTTACTGTCCCCTGTTATAATAGAGGGCCATCGTCAGCCCTGTCTCATGGCATGGCCGATGGGACTCCCTTATGGCTTGCGCTGGGACTCCGTTTTCTCATTTTTCTCATTTTCATTGTGCCTTTGACTCATGCTTCCCTCTCCTGCCAGTATGCTCTGCTCTCTTCTGGTCTGGCAGTTCTTTGTTATAAATCCTTTTGATTGAGTCAACTCAGACAGGAGCCATGGCTAGCACAGATCTGTTAGAACTCATTGATGACATAATTCATTATAAGGCTCCAGCATTGGGAGGTTTCTTGAAGAACATCAGGTACTATGGCTTCCAACTGTCCCTTCATCTAGGAAACTGAGGAGGTGCTCAGGGTGTCCCTATGGGGTATGACAGGGACCTAGTGGACTGAGCTGTGGGCTTTTCCTTCTCACTTCAACTGGGCGAGTTGCACTTTCATCTATTTTCTGTATTTGAGTTCGGGATAAGACATTGTTGAAAACAATAGTAGTTTGTCACTGAAATACATGGCAATGACTGATCTACTTCAATCTTCCTTTGCTTTACAAATAAAAGACACCTGACAGCCACAGAATTCGTGTGCCTTCATGTGCTGACACCCTGGTGACTGGCCCGTGCAGCCCAGAGTCCAGACCTCTCCATCTGATGCTGGTGCCTTTTATCTTCCCAGGTACATGCAACGGTGTCTGTGTGAACAATTCCAACTGCACTCAACCTTGCCCCCCTGACACTCCAGGAAATGTGGGGTTTGTATGTAGGCAAAAGAAATGGTACAAGATCACTGATACCTGCCGGACTCTTACAGCCTTTAACATTTTTGAGGTAATAATATCTTTCTCCCAGATACAAAGTAGAGCGACAAATTAGCAATACATAGTGCACTTAATAAGAGAGAGGGATAGTTCCAGGCAGGGTAGTAAGCAGGGGCTTTTACAGCTAAATACATAAATACCCACCTGTCCTCTCTCTACACTAGAATGGCATTCTTAATTTTGGGCATCTACATGTTTGTGCTCCAGTCTCCCACACCTATTGTGACACAAAGGAACCTGGTCATTTAGTTCAGAGCTAAAAAAGCTGCCTAGAATCCTCACAGCTTACTTCTCCATTCCCACTCTTAGCTCTTTGATGCCCCAAAGCCTGGCTACCCAATGTGTCCTTCCCTGACCAGCAGCACAGGACATCTCTGAGAACCTTTAGACATGGCCCCACCACAGACCTGCTGAGTCTGAATCTGCATTTTACCCAGATCTGACTTCTGAGCTCAGAGGAGCATAAGAATAGAGCTGAGATAGAGGGAAGGACTTCATTGTCACACAAAGAACATATTTTCACATATACTAAAGTAGTTACATATGTTAAAAAATCAAATTCTAGTAAATAAAATCAAGTCAAATGTTATTTCTTCTTCTTTTGTTTCTTTTTCTCCTTTTCTAGTAGCAGATTTTTCTTTCTGAAGTTCAGCCCCTGATTAATTCAGAGGAGTCAGTGCTTTAGCATCTCTTCTGTCCTAGCAACATTCCCATCCCCTGTTTCAGGGAAGAGCCAGGGAGAGAAAGTGGATACTATACCTGAAGTTCCCCTGCCAGACTTCAAATGGCTGCCCACCCTTGATTTGAAGGACCTGTGCAAAGATACACATGGAGAACAATATAAATATCCTCCTATTTAAATGCTTCAAATCAAACCTATAAACTGATAAATAAAATAGGTTCTGTCAGTCTCCCATTCCAGAATTCTATTCTGCTCCTTGAGGGTAGAGGAAAGCCAAGGCCACACATCCCTAAGCCTGAACACGGGTGTTTCTTTGACACCTCTTGGGCCTATGGGTGAGCACACTAGTGACACGGTCAATCCCTAGCAGCACAGACTTAGGGGAGGCCCCAGAAATGGGCTTACAATTGTTGAGTAGAAAATTCAGGTGTCTAGACCACCTGCATTTTCAGGTGTCTAGTCCATGTCTAGGCCATGGGCTTCTTGTCCTCTGTCAAGTGGCAAGCTGGAGCAAGGGGCCTGCAAGAGCAAGGTTTGGCATTTTTTTTCCTGTCAAAGGCCAGATAGTAAATATTCTAGGCATTGTGGGTATTATGGTCTTTGTTGAAACTACTCAGCTCTGCCGTTGTAGCAGGAAAGCAGCCACGGACAATACTTATAATGAATGAGCAAGTTGAATCTCAGTAAAACTTTATTTATAGAACAACAGGCCGCCAACCTGGGGCCATAGTTTGCCAACCCTGCTTTAAAGTGTGGGACCCAGGGCCTGAACCTGTGCAAAATACTGTCTGTCACTATTTTTTTAGTCTTTCTTCTTTCTTAGCATTCCCGTTGATTCATCCAAATCTGTTCAGAATTTCTATTTTTGAAACATAATTATGTCTCATGCTTTACCCCTTAGGAAGAGTAAAAAATAAGCTTACATGGCATGAGAAATGTATCTATGTGCACAGTATGTATACACAGAAGTGGTGTGAAGTGGCATGCCAAAGTTGCAGACACTATTTGAATAGAGGGGGTTCAGAACTAGGCAACTGGCTAGCTGGGACTTCCATTTTCTGTTCATAGACCTTGGTACTGGGCAGATTGTTTCACAGCAGATGTGACTTGGACAATGTAAGATAGAAAAGCATCATGCAATATACAATTGTGTAATAAGGCTGTCCTAAATTTTAGTAAACATACTTTTACATTAAAACAAAGGTAACAGGATAAAAACTTCTTTTTTTTGCTACTTCTTAGGAGGATTCAGCGATAATGGGAGCAGCTCCAACAAGTACAAAAATATATGAAGATGTCAAATCTGAGGCCATTGCAGATATGTTGTTGCAGAGGTGTCCGAAGGATTTGTCCTGTGTCATCACCAACATTCGGCGTTCTCCGAGGATACCGGGCAACATCGCTGTCATTGTGCAGCTCCTACACAACATATCAGCAGCAGAGCTGATAACAAATGTGGACAAAACAAAGATGCAGGTGAGTTGCCTCCAATATTTGGGAGAGCATTTTTTTTGGGGGGGTGGGAAAGGAATGCCTGTTAATTGAAGCTTTTGGGGGTCTGAGTAGACCACATCTTTTATTTCCATATTTCAAATACCTTGTAAGTGCTGAAAATAAATCTTTACTGAAAAAAGAAATGAGTACATGGATGGAAAAAGTGAGCACATTCAATCAACAAACATTTAAAGAGAATACTTACTAGGTGCTGGATTGGACATTGAGGCAAGCTTTTCCAATGTATATTTTGGTTACTGCAAACCTCTAAGAACCATCCTAGGTCCTACAGAGAGAAAAGATTTTATTTGTGAGTCAGAATAGGTTGCTAAAATGGAAAATAACTGGATGCCAAGAAGATAGCCATAAATGTCTGCTGCAGAAAGGTGAAACAGAACTGGACCCATTTTCTTTATTTTTGATCTTCAAGGTAGAGGACAGTAAAGAGGAAGTTCAGCTTCTAGGGTCAGTTTCCAATTTGGCATACTCCTCTACAGTGGTATTTAATAGATGTTAATTACCTAGTGGGTGGGTGCTCTGACCAGGGTAAGCAAATTGCCAGTTCCACCCAGGTGTGAAGTGGAACTGGTGAGGGAAATGAGCATGGTGAAGGCTTCCCACCTGCCAGTCTCACAGGAGGCTTTGCATAAATGGGAGGAGGGCAGCTCCCTTGTAGCTCTGTCCTCCAACCCAAACTTGAGCAGCATGTGAGTCACCTGGGGGTTTCATTAAGCTGCTGATTCTAATTCATTAGGTCTGAGGTGGGGCCTGAGATTCTGCATCTTTAAAAGGTTCCCAGGCGATGCCTATATTGCTGGTTGAAGGACCACATTTTATAAAAGGGAAGCTTGAATGTCCTGGAAGATTCAGACAGTGGCTCAATACTAATGCTGGTTCTTCATTTGACAGAGTTACAGCATCATGGCCAACCACATTCTTGACAGCAAAAGCATCTCAAACTGGACCTTCATCCCTGAAAAAAACAGCAGCTGTGTGTTACTACACTCGGTCAATACCTTTGCAAGAAGGCTACTTATAAATAAACATCCCATTGACATACCAGATGCCTTCATTCATACTATGGGAACCATCATATCTGGAGATAACAATGGAAGGAATTTAACTTTCTCAATGAGAGTTAATGACACTCGCAACAACGTCACTGGGAGGGTGTTGATCAGCAGAGATGAAGTTCAGAAGGTGCGTTCCCCTTCTCAGTTAGTCAGCATTGCATTTCCAACACTTGGAGCCATCTTAGAAGCCAGTCTTTTGGAAAAGAACACTGTGAATGGGCTTGTCCTGTCTGTCATTTTGCCCCAAGAACTTAAAAGAATCTCACTGGTTTTTGAAAAGATCAGGAATTCCGAGGGGGGGCAGACACAGTGTGTCGGCTGGCACTCCTTTGAGAGCCGATGGGATCAGCACGCCTGTGAGATGATTCAAGAAAACTCCCAGCAAGCTGTTTGCAAATGTAGACCAAGCAAGTTGTTTACCTCATTCTCCATTCTTATGTCACCACACACCTTGGAGAGCCCCATCCTGATTTACATCACGTACATAGGACTGGGCGTTTCTATCTGCAGCTTGATCCTTTGCTTGTCCATTGAGGCCTTGGTCTGGAGCCGAGTGACGAAGACAGAGATCTCCTATTTACGCCACCTGTGTATTGCCAACGTTGCAGCCACCTTGCTGATGGCCGATGTGTGGTTCATTGTGGCTTCCTTTCTTAGTGGTCCAAAAGCACACCATGATGGATGTGTGGCAGCAACATTTTTTGTTCACTTCTTTTACCTTTCTGTGTTTTTCTGGATGCTTGCTAAGGCACTTCTTATCCTCTATGGAATCCTGATTGTTTTCCATACACTGCCCAAGTCAGTGCTAGTGGCATCTCTCTTTTCAGTGGGCTATGGATGTCCTTTGGTCATTGCTGTCATCACAGTTGCTGCCACTGAGCCTGGCAAAGGCTACCTGCGGCCTGAGGCCTGCTGGCTCAACTGGGACAGGACCAAGGCCCTCCTGGCCTTTGTGGTCCCAGCTGTGGTCATTGTGGCAGTAAACCTGATCACAGTGACATTGGTGATTGTCAAAACCCAGCGACCTGCCATTGGCAGTTCCATGTTCCAAGAGGTGAGAGCCATTGTGAGAATCAGTAAGAACATCGCCATCCTCACACCCCTGCTGGGCCTGACCTGGGGATTTGGAATAGCCACAGTCATCGATGATACCTCCCTGGTCTTCCACATTCTCTTCTCTTTGCTCAATGCATTCCAGGTAAGTCCAGGTGCTTCTGACCAAATCCAAGTGAAAGAATTAAAAAAGTTTTGTAATCAGGAGGTCATGCCATCATATTTATTTATAAAATACAGTGGATTTAGCATAGCCTATTGGGTCAGGAAATAAGCTTTTGTTCCAAAAAGGCCTGGATTCAAATCTCAAGTCTATCATTTACTAATGCGTAACATTCTCCTGGGATGTTTGCTTAACTTTTCCAAGCCATATTTTCTCATTTATAGAAATGGATATAATCTTCCCATTTTACAGCAGTGTTTGGAAAATGAAATAAAAGAGTGAATGGGAAAACAGCCAGTATTAAAATGCCCTACAGATCACAAGTAACCTAAAACTAGGCTGACTTTTAACTACTTTAGACATGAAGCAATACCATTTCCCCAAAAATCTACGTATGTAACTGGATATTTACACATGTCAATTTATATTTTATTCCATTTAGAATTTTTAGTTACCTTTGGAAACCATTTTATTTTAATAAAGCAAGTCATATAGAGTGGTATTAAAGATGGTTTACCCTGTCTTCTCCTCTCTTATCTCACCTCTGTCAGCTAAACAATGTTTAATAGATAAATTTTTATATAATATTGGGATTAAAAATAATATGTAGTATTTTGCAACTTACTTTTTCACTTAAAAATACATCCTAGCATTTTTACCAGATTACTATGGATATGTATGTCTCTTTAATGGATGCATGGCATTCAATATTCAACAATTCCTTTCTTGATTGAATTTTTCTATTTTCATATTTTTTGGTCACAATGTACCAATGAGTCAAAGTTTATTATATTGAATATTAAATATGTAAATAGCATCTAATTGAAAAGAAAGCTTTTATTTTTCTAAAGACCTCTGAAACATTTCTTTTTCTGAATTCATGTTTATGGAAAATTTTATTTTCAAATAAATATTTTACCTAACAAATAATACAAATTTTAAGTCAAATATTTTTTAATTTTTCTCTTTCAAAATTTAAGTATAAATGATTTTATTTACAATAAACATTTTGATGTCTTAGAGAACAATGTTAACAATAATGGGAGCTCCAATCTTTTAACTATGTTGTTGTTTTTCTGCATTTCTATAGAATATATTAATTGTACTGGGTTGGCCAAAAAGACCATATTTTTTTCTGTAAAATAAAAGACATAGTTTTCATTTGCACCAATAACTTTATTGATTTGGATATTTTGAGTATGTCAGCTATCTCTCAAGTGGCAGAATGTTGATTGTTCTCAATTAATGTCTCAGTTTGATCACTATCAGCTTCAACTGGTCTACATGACCATGGAGCATCACCCAGTGAGAAATCTCCAGCATTAAACCTCACAAACCTCTTTTGACACATTTGATCAGGAACATTTGCACTTATCTACACACTGCATAAATCTTGTTTTGTGTGTTTCAGTTGCATTTTTACCTTTTTTGAAATAATGAAGCATAATATGCCAAAAATGTTATATATTTTCTTCCATCTTCAATATTAAAATGGCTACAAAAAATTCACCAATTTTGATAAGTTTTTTAAAATACATGTTGATATGACAGCTGTCATGATACAATCTAATAAAATTATTTTGAATGAAGTTAAAGACAACTAAGCACTACTAGAGCCATCTTACGGAAAAAAACAAATGAACATTTTGGCCAATCCAATACCCTACATTTTTGTATAGCTCTTAGTAATTATAAATTTCCTGACCTGTTATGCATCTAGCCACTGATAGGATGGACATAAAAACCTAGTATTCCTAAATTTATGTTCAGCATATCCCATGGGTGTTTGTCATGGACTTAATGAGTTCATGTCTTACTCCTCAGCATTTTCCTTTCCTTTCCTCCCTTGGGGCCATCTTAACTGTGGTTTTTATTTTGGACTAGGCTGTAAGCACTTGTCTTTTGGTATCATGAGCTCTTTTACCTGTCATAACAGGACTAACTTATAATTTAATCTCAGTTTCTGTCTTGACCCCTGACAAGGAGGAGGGCAGGGCCCATCTAAGTACCAGTACCAGTGGGAGAGCGAGAAGCCAAGAGCGGGTTTTGGGTGAAGGCCAGACACCAGGGCAGGCCTCAGGCAGTGGTGTGCTGAAGCTGGCTTGCACTTGCTCAGCTGACTGCTATATTTTCAGGAATTTTGTGAGCTGGTTGTAAACATAAACATCACTAAATTATGTAGAAAATCAGATTAAAAACAATGTTCAAATATCCTTAAAACTCATCACTTCCTAATTGTTTGTCCACAGTATACTCTGCTCTTGAGGTTATTTGAATCTACTGTATCTGTATGATGGAAACACTGTATAATGTTATGCCCATCTCTTCCTAACGTTATGGCCAGTGATGTCATGTTGCTAGATTTACATTAACTCTGGGGGAAGTACTTAGCCATGGAGATTGGCAAGTACTACAAATTAACAGAGTTGATTACCAGCATATCAGTGGATCAAGGTATCCTAGGGAGGGGAGAGAGGAGAGCCGTAGATCCAGTGAGGTGGGAGACCAGAACAACTGAGAGGGAAGAAGCAGGACGAGCAGAGTTATGGGATGAACTGAGAAGAGAGGAAACTGAGGTTGATGGAACAGGCTAAGAGGAAAGACTAAGCATACCAAGAGATCTAGAAGGTGTGGGAGAAAGGCTCTTTGATAGATTTCCTGGTCCTGGTCCCGTGGGAGCACCTCCACTGCTTTTAAAGCTCAACCAATCCTTTTACTAGGGAAGGATTATTATACAGGGTAGGGTAAAAGTAGATTTACAGTTGTGGGTATGCAAAACACAGACTTTATTTTTGTATTATTATTTATTAATTATTGTGTCATTTTCCATATGAACAACTTTAGAACTACTTTTGCCCCACCCAACCTGTACAGTAAGTCGCTGCCTTGAATGCTACTTTGTCAAACCATAACGTCTAGTTGGTGTCTTCTCCTGTATATACTGAGAATAATTGTGAGCTGGTCTAAGTTTGGGGACCCTTATAACAATGGGTGGCTCATGAACAATAAAAATTTATTTCTCAAAGTTCTGGATGCTAGGAAGCCCAAGAGAGAGGCGTGAGCAGATCCAATGTCTTGCAAGAGCCTACTTCCCAGTTTTCAGAAGGACAGCGGCCGTCTTGCTACAACGTAGAAGGGGTGAGGGAGCTCCCTGGGGCCTCTTTTACAAGGGCCCTGATCTCCTTATGGAGATCATGACCTACTTGCCTCCCAAAGGAGTACCTCCTAATACCTTCACATTGGGTGTAAGGATTTAACATATGAATTTGGGAGTGGGGAACATGCAACCTATAGCAGCAAAGCACGTGTTTTTAAACCTGGGAGAACATTTTGGGGTTTTATCTGCTCAAATTGTGCTTTTTCTGTTAAAATAAATGCAAAGAAGTTGCTCCCTCTGAATGCATCTCAATTAGAAACTACACCTTATGACTAATATTATATCCAAATTTTCTGAATAATATTTTGTGTAACTTTTCCCAAGGTGGTGTGGACCAACATAACGTGGTTGTAGTGGGGCATTTCCCTGTTACATATTTATAGCTGTGCAGTTGCAGATTGCGTAATGAAGGAAGTAAACACACGTACAGGCATAGACACACAAATGCACAGAGACACCATGTTTAATGAGTATTTATTTTGTGCCAAACATTATGCAATGTTGCAGGTATAAATATAATTAGTCCTACCTCAAGAAATTGAAAGTCTCTCAAGAAAATAAATTCCTCTTAGTACTTTAGCCAAAGGAATATATATTTGTGGAGGAAACAAGCTAGAACTGTGGTTTCTCAGATCTTTTAAAAATTTAATTCTTGGGCAAAATTCATGGAGATTCTGATTTAAAATGTAGTCTTAGTGCCAAAACCATACTGGGATATATTTGCCCCAAGCATCTGTACACAAATGATATTTTGTAACCTTATGGATCGTGCCATCAGTGGCATTTTGTTAGCAGACCAATGACAGACTTCAATAGTTATCTTGTATGCTAAGAGTGTCACACAAAAAAGCAGTTTGATAGAAGCACTCCAAGCTTGGAGCAATTGCTGGACTGGCAGAATGGAGAGGTGTAGTTTAGAAGGTTTAGGGGAGTGGATGAGTGGCTTGGCCATCCAGGTACTTGCTGGTCCCTGTGAAGTCCTCCACCTTTCAGCTGGTCTTTCACAAATCATGGCAGTAGTGGCTTCAGTGTTATTCCTGCTGATGACCACTTGGTTGTACCATCTTTATTATTTCACATTAAACTCATGAACTTTGATAGGCCTCTGCCTGGGTAAAGGTTCATATTTGATTATGAAATCAGAGCAATTTAAAAAGGACGCCTAAATCAGAAGTCATTATCTCACTTCTCTTTTCTGGTGAGCAAAGACCTGCATAACCACACTTCAAAGAGAAATTTTGTCTAATCAATGTTGCTGTCTATCACATTTTGAAAGTTGAGTCTGTGAGCTTCCTTTGTCATCTGCAAAATAGGATGAACACTTTTTCTTCTTTTGGGGTGGTTTTGTGCCACTACACATGAAAAAAAGATTGAAAACTCAGATGGATTCAATGATGGAGGAGCAGCTTCCTTTTGACTTTGATGCTGTCTATCTTTATTATGGATGATAAGAGACATGAGAGCTAATGACTTTCTTTTGCATCATACTCAGAACACTTGTTTCTGAGCACCCATCATGTACTTAGAAATTCAGTCTGCTTGGATCTTGGTTTTTCTGATGATCCACGTACTTGATTTTTCTTTGCATTTTATAACTGATTTTGGTTGTGAATGGGAGAAAGAGGTTGAGGGTATTAAATAAAACTGAGCATGGATGCCTTTTCTTTTTTCTGTGAAAGTTTCTTTTATTGCTAATTATTCAGAGATTTAATGGTGCCATCCATTGAGTAACATCTCCTCTGAATATTGCTTGGACCATCATTTTCTGGTGAGATACACAGCTCCTGATAAATGCAAGGCACTTTTATTTTGCCCAAATTAAAAAGAAATTCTTATAATACACTTGCATGAATCAGGGATGCCCCAAGTGCCTGGAACAGGGGCTGGCACAGGGAAGGTGTGTTATCTATCAGTGTCTGTGGAATGGACGAATCTAGGTGTTGTGACCTTAACATGAGAGAGCCAATGATTGAATCAAATGATCTTCATTTCAGTTTTCTTTTTATTACTTTTATCAGTTGCACAACAGGAAGTGATAGTGAGTGCTGGTATTTCTTGTTATTTGCTATTACTATCAATATTATTTTGAAAATGGCCCTTCTTTCCCCTTCTGTCTTTCTCAGGGATTCTTCATCTTGGTGTTTGGAACAATCCTGGATCCAAAGGTACTGTAACTTCTTCTCTCTTTTTTTCCCCTGCATTAACAATACCTGACCCTGAGATACTTATTTGTAAAGTCCACCTATTGGGTGTCTCTTACCTCAATTATTTCTGCAGACATTCGAACAAGACATCACTGTTCTTTGTCATGCAAGTAATGTTGGTCATATTCTAAGCTCTTAAAGGGCTAAGCATTTTATGCATATTAGTTTTAATCTTTAAAACAACCTTGGATATTCCTATTTTCAGTCTTACGGATGAGGAAACATTCAGAGTGATTAAGCAGCTTGTACACAATCTCTACAGAAACTCACTCTCACCAGTTGAAGCAGAAATGGAATTTATTAATCTCACCAATATCATTTTTGGGAAGATGTCTCTTTGGCTTGGAGGCGTGGAGGCTGCACACCAGGAATGGTCCCCAGCATAGCACAGAAAACTGCTCCACATGCCACACCTTCCCCAGTTTCCTGGACATGAAAGCCTAGCCCACCAAGCCAATGTCAAATAGTGGATGCTAAGCTAGAGTTGCTGGTACTGCTGTCTCAGGGATCACCTCCATCCTGCCTGTTGGGGTCCACTGGTAGCTGCTTCTTGAATGGTCATGTCTAATTGGCTGAGCTCTGGTCACTTGGCTGCATCTTAGCTGCAAGGGAGGCTGGGGAAGTGAATTTCTGGCTTCTACCTTTAAGAGAAATGGATGCAAAGAAAGCAATTCTCCCAACACAGAGACTGGGTATAGGTAGTGACTGGTAAAACAAATAAAACCTAAAACAATGAACAAAACACCAAATGTTTACTTAGGATTATAAAATCACTCTCTTACTATTGTATTGTACTGTACCTTGAAATGAGAAAAGTAAATAATCCTCTTAGATGTAGATGTAGACATCTTTGCTGCAGGGATTTTTATTTTTTAATTGGTTAACTACTATCAATGCTATTCTAACAAGTTAATATGCAAGGTTTCTAAAAAAAAGACATTTGACAATGGTCCTTTCACTTTCTTATGAGAATACCATTACCTGATAAAAATTATCCAGAGGTGAAAGTTAAGAGTATTAGTCTTTTAGCCTTGATATTTTTCTGTACTAGCTATGTGCCACTGAGGAGTTCCTTAAATCACATGAACTTCAGATTCGTCAGAGAGAATGCAGAGATAATAATGTTTTCTCTTCCTTATTTGCTAGATTATGGTAAAGAAGAAAAGTAATTTTGCAAATTAAAACATAGAAAGCATTTCTGTTATGATATAGTTGTATACCATATTATTGTTTTTCATTAATCTAATACCACAGTTAGTATGTTATAGCCAAATCATCAGCAGTGTTATTATTATTTATTAGTGTACCAGTGTTATGTATTATGAAGTGTGCAAAAACTCTTACTATATGGAAGCTTCCAACAAGATCAAAACATTTTACCTTTAAAATTGTAATGTAAAAGGTGAACACTGAAAGATTCTATGATTAATTGACAAAACGTTGTAAAGTAGTCCCCCCTTATCTGTGGAGAATGCTTCCCAAGATCCCCAGCGGATGCCTGAAACCATGGGGAGTCTAGAACCCTTTTTATACTCTGGTTTTTTTCTACATATACATATTTACAATAAATTTCTAAATTAAGCACAGTAATAGATTAACAACAACTAATAATAAAATAGTACAATTATAAGAATGTACTGTAATAAAAGTTATATCAATATGGTTTCTCTCTCAAAAATATCTTACTGTACTGTACTCACCTTTTCACGTAAAGGAAGCACTTCATAACTTCTCTCTGGCATATCCCAATGGCCAGCCCACTGCTCTTGTGCTTGGGGGCTGTTATTAAGTAGAATAAGGGTTTCTTGAACACAAGCACTACAGCACTGTGACAGTCAACCTGATAACTGACATGATTATGAAGTGGCTGATGGATGTGTGGTGTATACATCATGGATGCACTGGACAAAGGGATGGTTCACATCCAATGCAGATGAAGCAGAATGGTGTGGCAGGAGATTTCATCTCACTACTCTGAACAGCACAGAATTTAAAACTTATAAATAATTTATTTCTGGAATTTTCCATTTAATATTTGCAGACCATGGTAGACTGTGGGTAACTGAAACTGTGGAAAGCAAAACCATGGGTAAGGGGATACTACTGAATATACCTGCAGTCTTTGAGCTTTTAGGACCACCTATCTCCAGATGTGTTTATTATTAATTTACAAAGTATATATTATGCACATATGAAACAGAATTAGAAAAAGATGGAAGGACAGAAATTCAAGTAGAGGCTCCAGTATGTCTTCAAGTATTGCAATGGGCTTTGAGTGCAGGGACGCCACACCAGGGAGAGCTCCTACCTTTTGGAGCCTGTGTGTGATGGAGAACACTGCATTTTCAGGGAAGGGTGAGGTCGCTCTGAGCTAGGGGACTTCAGCTACATTAAGTGTGAGGACAACACTTCTACATGGCCTTGGGAAGTGAATAACATTTTATATAGCAAAAGGCAAGAGAGTGCCTGGGTGTGGTAGGAGAGATTTAGGGAAAATCACAGGATGGCCTGAAGTCAGGCCCCAACCCCTGGCTCTTTCTCTCAGTAGTGGACTAATTCTGCATGCTACGTAATCTCAGAGTCTTAATTTCCTCAGTTGTAGCTGTTTTATAGTTATTCTTTTTTTTGGATAAAAGGAGATGATAGGAGTAAAAAACAAAGTTATAAAACAAAACATAAAGGTTATTCATTATTTTATTTTCTTGGTTCCAAAGGTCTTTGCTATGTTGTGTAGGACTCTTTTTTTTTTTAAACCATGGTTAAGCTCACTAGAAAAGGAGGTTTGAATAGTTGACAAATCATGGGGAAATGTTCAACTGTTCAAGTACTCCCAAAAATACCCTCAAAGCCATGTCAAAGTATCCTCAGACTGCTGGCAAAGTGTTACTTCTTAGCCATTGAGTTCATTTCAAGGCCCTGATTATGAATCTCCTATGCCCACTCTGCTTTGTCTGTCTCTCCCCATCTCCCCACCTTTTCCCAGACCTCGTCACCAAGTTCCCGATCCCTGTCCCACCAACAGGACCTGGCTGGTAACACACTCTCCTGCCACAGTATTAGCCAGCCCCAAACACATGCTGATTTCTCATAATCTTTTTAATTCATAATGTTTTTGTTAACTATCCAGATAAGAGAAGCCTTAAAGGATCGAATAACTTCTGCAAAATGGATCTCCAGAGCATCAGAGGTAAAGCCTTCATATTCATTTTTGTACCTAAAAGTTTGACAAGATAATGATGCTGGAGTTTCTGGCCTATGAAGTGTTGCTAAAACCATCCTTTAACATTCTGTGGCATGGAGCTGTCACAAGCGCTGGGGGAGGGCCTCTTTGAGCTGTTCAAATTTTTTCTGGCATCCTGGAACCACATCCAAAGGGAGGAAAGCTGACTTAACTGCATTCAGAGGACAGTGACTCAGTGGCAGGGCCTGGAGGGGTGAATCTCAAACTGGCAGCAGCAGAGCAAGGGATGAAACAGGCAAAAGAGAATGTAAAAAGTCTTGGATTCCCATGACAGCCCACTTGTCCATTATGATTCCTATTGGTTGAACCACATGCAAACTGAAAATTCAAGGGAAACAATTTCTGGTCCTGTTACAAAGAAATATCCAATAACCTAATTTTCAAGCGAGGCTGCTGGTCATGGTTACTGGCATTGTACAAAAAGGTTAGGGACCTGGTCAGTCATTGGACAGTATGCATGCCCTTTCATTTATTATCACGTGTAGTGTTGTTATGCAAAGTGTGACCCACTAGCTGTTTCAAGTGAGGGAAAGACTGAAAAAAATTTAAATGGCAGCAAAAATGGGGATTCCAGGTCAGCCCAGGAAACATACCCAGAAACGAGAGAAGAGGCCATCTACAGTTTCCACACCAACATCCAAGGGGATACACGTGGGCCAGCACAGGCTGGTGTTGCAGGAGATTTGCAGGGAGAGGGTGATGCGTCATTCCAGCGGCTGGGCCCTTGAGGGCGCCTGGATAACAGCACTGGCCCTCCCCTATAATCCTGGCTTTTCCATTCCTTCTCCTTTGCTTTCCTTAGTCTTCTTCTCTTCTTTTTCTTCTCTTCATTTTTCTATCCCTTTTTGTCTTACTCTCACCAAAGCTTTGATCTTATTCCTAGTCCTTGGTCTTCATACCTGGGAGACTAATGACTTTACATCCCTTTCTTCTGAAAAATAAACACAAACAAAAAAATTGGCAGGCCCCACACTGGCCCCCACCAATCCCACCCAGTTTTTCTAAGAATAAAGCAGTGGTTCTAAAGCAGTGGTACTCAACCTTGGCCAAACATTGGAATCAATCTGGAAGCTTCAAATAATGCCACCTGGGTCCCATCCCTGTAGGTTCTGGTCTGCAGTGTGACTTGGGTTTTAGGTGATTCTAATGTAGTCAAAGTTGAGACCCCCCACTCATCTAGGCCTTTCTGAAGAGTGTTGGCTGTATAAACATTTTGTTCAAACCAGCCCACCCAGTATAGTATTCTCTGCTCCCTCACTCTGGTCTGCCACAGTGCTCTCCCGAGAGAGGCACAACACTTTCAGTCCCTTCTGGTTTAGCACGGCTCCTTTCCCTTTGGGTTTTCAGTATCAATCCATTCAGACACAACAGGGAAATTCTGTCCTTTGGTGCTTTGGAAAATAGTCTTTTTTTTTTAATTACATGTCATGGTCATATCCAGAATGTTATTCTCAGCTTTTGATGGTCTGAGTCAGTGGTTTTTAATGCTGGCTGCACCTTAGAAATAACTAGGGAGCTTTTTAAAAATACCACTGTCCTGCCCCCACCCAAGAAAAAGTTTACCAGAAAGTCTTAGAGGTAAGGCATAATCACTTTTATGTTATAATCTCCCCAGTGGTTCTAAGGGCTGCCAGGGTTAAGAACTGCTGGTCTAGGTACTAAGTAAACTTAGCCTAACTTCTTCCAATCCTTCCTTCATTCTGCCCACTGGTTTTTGGTCATTGCAAGTCTGTTTAATCAGCCCAACTCAGAACTTATCATCTGTTTTCTCCTCTCCTGCTTTGCAGGTTCTAACCCCTAGGTGGTAATCATGTACAGTCCAGATTTAACTTTCTTCTTATGATACTTGCCTGGAGAGTATCAGCCCCTGGTTCCCAAACCCAGGATAATCAATGTGCTTGTCTGTGTTCCTTTTATATTTGATGTGATGAATGGGTCTATGCTCATGTGGTAATAATTTTATCAGTGAATTAATGCATTACCTCTCTTAGGCAACACATACCTAAAACACAAGGTATTTTACACTCTGGTTCATCACAAGGAGATGACTGTACCATTGAGGAGTTCAGCAGGCCAGTTGAAAAGCAGCCATTTGGGGGCTAGCAAACCTGTTAGTGTTGACCCCTTCTTCAACTCCGCTCACTGCCCTCTCCCGTTTCCCTTCAAACCAGAGGCTCCTTCTGGAGAAGGTGCCAGGCCAGCCATGGGATGGGGATCTCTCCCACCAGCCTGCCCCTGTGCTGTCAGTGGTTCTGGATACAAACAAGGAGAGGGAGAAATTAAAATGATAAAATAACTTGCTGTGCTCACAATTCTCCATGCGCTTTGGATAATTGTGATCATTGTAAACAGACTAATAATAAGTGAAATTACATTTTTGTCTTCAACAGAACCTTTCTTCTGATTATTCTTGTCACCCCACCAAAGGGCCAAGTTAACAAACCAGCCTACTATGCTCCTAATTCGGGAGGTGAGTGCAAAGCAGGTGGGTCCCCATATACATGCCATGTATATGACATTTTTTTAAATAGATCGCAATCTGATGACTTGTGATTAGAAATTATTTTTTTTTATTGAAAGGAATTTCCTTCTGCAGTCTCTTCTCATCTAGTGAATGTCAGAGATACATTCACACGTCTCATTCTTGTCCTACTGAAATGTTGGCTGTCTCTGTGAAACAGTCAGGCCTGTCTGAGAATGCTCTTAAATTAGTGTGGGTGTATTTAAGAGGAGAGTGTGCAGAGCTGCCAGCTCCACACAGCCTCACCCTCTCCTCCTCCTCCTCTAGGTCCCCTGCCCCAGGACATCCTCTGTGATATCAACAATATCCCCAGATTTCCATCTGTGGGAAATCGTTTCCCTCCTGTTAAATGATCAAGGAATTATGATAAACACTATCTATGTGAGGCTTCAAGGGTAATATAGAAGCAAGCAGGCAATGAGAGGATTTAGAATCTGAGAGACAGAGAGAAAGAGTGAAACACCATCAGAGAAGTAGAGCAGCAGGGGGAAACAGAAGGAGAGATCCTTACCCAGGGGCATGGCAACTCACTGTTGGAAGGGAGCCATCCAGCTACACAGACACGTGTGATGGGTCTCCCGATCTCTGTGTCCATGTCCCTCTAGATCTAGAGAGAGACCAGACAGGGAGACAGAGACACTCAAAGCAGGACACCCACATTCACAGTCAGACAGAGAGATGCATAGAGGCCAAGGGTTGCAGAGAGAGACCCCAAGAAACACAGAAGCAGAGAAAGAGAAAGGCATGCAGACTGAGACTCATACAGAGACACACACAGGATGACAGAGACAGAAACAGAGAGAGATGCAGAGAGAGGCACCCAGATATGTGTGGAGAACCTATCACTCCCACCCCAATACATTGGGTTCCAGCAGCCTCTGTCACCAAAACCTTCTGCAACAGCCCAGGGCCTTGTACAAAGAAAGGGGTATTTTTAGCTCAGTGGATTGAGTAAGGGCTGCAAACCAAAGTGTTGCAGGTTCGATTCCCAGTCAGGGTACATGCCTGGGTTGCAGGCCATGACCCCCAGCAACCGCACATTGATGTTTCTCTCTCTCTCTCTCTCTCCCTCCCTTCCCTCTCTAAAAATAAATAAATAAAATCTAAAAAAAAAAAGAAAGAAAGAAAGGGGTATTCTCCAAGAGGAAAGAAAGTGGTTCAGCTTAAAGAAAGAGTGAATCAATAAATGCAGTTGTTGTGAGGCTCTGGGTCTTGCTGCTTGTACATTAAAGCTGTGATTTTCTGTTCTTGACAAGGTCATACATTCCAGGAACAGCGGAGCCTCCAGGAGAAATGTGCTTATTCCTGTGTTCTTGCCTCTGGGGAGTATGAAGGAAGCCTCCCAGGCTGTGGTGCTGATGGCAGAGGGAGCAACATGAGGAAAGGATGGAAAGCCTCTCTGCCTACCTACTTCTGCGCTGCTAATTGCTCCTCCCACATCAACTGGCAACATCTATGTGTGATTCTTGGCACCCATGAAGGAACGGAAAGACTACATGGGCCACAGCTGGACTTTGGTCTTATTGGGGCCTCCAGCTCCAGACTGTGGGTCACGTTTACCCCTGGGCTATGGCTCATCTCGGCAAAGGTGGCCTGGGATGTCACTTGGCTGGATTCTGTGGGTTGCTGAGGGAGAGGCCCTTATGAATATAGTCACCAACAACTGGGCTGACTCTAAGTAGGTCATTGATGGCTCTTTGTACAAGAGGAATCCCACTGCTGGTGTATTCCACCCTCCAGATTTAAACTGATCTTCAGGCTCCCAGTCCTGGACTTTCTCCAAACCCAAGGAGCCAGTTCTCTGGGACTCTGTCTGTTCTGACAATGTAAGATTAACCCTCACCAGCAATATGTTTGTTTTTGAAACCTGGGCTGAGGAAGAGGAAATATCATGTTTTAGGTAGAGAGATGCTCGTTTTCTTAATCTTGTATGTAAACAAATTCAACATTCAAAGTGGGAGCCCCCTGATAAGAAAGCATTACTGTAAGAACAAGCTCTTTTAGAAAAAAACATTTAAAAGTTCTTTATAAAGGGAGAACACAGGCTGATGCAGCAGAAGAAAATTAGTGGATAAAGGAAAAAAGGGCAATGGGAAACCCCTAATTATCCTACCAGGAAGCCTGCATTAATGAAGTTACATTACAAATGAGACCATGAAACTCACTTTATGAATGACTGGGGCATTTCTCGCTCATTCTCTCTCTCCCCGCCCCCCAATCTCTCCCCTCCCCCACAATGTTTCCTCTAGATAGGAAACCTTGAGAAATAAAAATAAAATAAAGAGGTCAATCAGAAGGTAAAAAATATACCAACCTGAGGAGTGGATCATGTTTCAAGTTGCACTGCTCATGTTGGAACAACAATTGCCCCTTTCTCACATGAAGTCAGAAAGTGGTTTGAGCTCAGCATTTCCCAAAATGTCTGTAGTGTCTCTTCAGGAGAAAGGAATGGGACAGACACAATGCTGGTTTCTCAATGTAGAGATTTCAAGAGCAAAGAAATGTCACTTACACAGAGTAATATATTGAAATGAGGAGGGAATCCTGTAAAGTCAAATAGTCATAGTATTATATATCTGGAACTTTAGAAAACACTGGGTCCAACTGTCTCATTTTACAGATGGGAACTCTGAACACAAGAAAGAGGGGTGGTGGGGGGGAGAGAGAGAGAGCACTCATATGTATTGTGCGTCGAGCAGTTACATCTAGCATGAAAGCACACTCTACTCCAGTAAGATGGCAGGGAAAACATCTCCCTAGGGATTATCATTAACTAAGAAAGGCCTATGGATGAAAAGAGAGGTACTCTGGAATTATTTGGGAACCCCTTGAACAAACTGTTCCCTGTCTCCTGCAGCCCACAGCCTAGTCCACCCCATCCTGAAAGATGTCAATAAACTTGCACAGATTAGGTTGACTGTGGAAGACCCCCAGGTGAAGACACATTCCATGTCCTGTTCACACCTCACCTAGGAAGTGACTCAGTCAGGTGGCTCAAGGAAACATTGGTGCTAACAGCATCTATGGCAGATGCATGATTAGACTACTTAATACATGGTGATCTTTGACAGTTATTTAAAATTCTTAGACTTTAATTTCTTCATCTATAATTTGAGCAAATTAGAGACTACCTCTTAAGGTTGTTGTAAAGATTAAATGAATAATTGTAGGTAAATAGTAGAATAGTGTTTGGCAAATACTATTTGCCCATTAAAATATTAGCAGCTTTCAGTAGAGTACCTGTGATTTATGCACACACACAAGCAAACACACAGCTAAACAATGAGTTCGGATATAGACACTCTCATGGGAGTTAGTCCAGTGACTTCTAAATAAGAGTTAAACATTTGATTCAGCACAAAGTGTTTCATCCAGCAGAATCTGCTGAGCTTGCCATTGAAGGAATCTTTCCCTCAATGTTACCATGGTTGTAAAATATGGTCCCTTGCCTGGGAAAGAGCATCCACCATGGGTTCTACTCAGGGCACCCTCTGTCTGGGCTCTGATTCACTCTTTGCCTTCCCTGGGAAGACTTTCCTGATTAGTCCAACCAGAAGTGCTGGTTCTCCCCACCTGATTTCCTTTGATATTTATAATCTGTGTCATTCACTTCACATTTAGTATTTATTGTTACATTGTTGAACTTTAGTCTTTTTGTGTGCATGTATTTCCCAGACTGTTAACTTCTGGAGACAGGATAATTCATGTGTGTTACTGTATGCTCAATTTTGTAAGCCTTTTTTAAAATTGTATTTTATTGATTATGCTATTACAGTTGCAAGGTATCTTCTGTGTTTAATAAAATTCTTTAATTACACAACCAAAGGCTTGATGATACTGGCTTTTCCAGTTGCCAAATGACCTGGCACTTCACTAGCAACCTCAGTGGAACTGACCTATTTCTGCACATATCACCTTCTTGATCTTTGTTACTGTATAAGATACAACAAAATTGCCTTTCCTTATTCTCTTTTATTGTCAACATTTCCTCTGGTGATGTTTAACTGGAGGTTTGCATCACATTTTGGGGCCAAGAATATACATAAGTAGAAGACACTAGGATGGGGATGTGTGGGGCTATTTGGTGGTGAGGACAATCCAAACTGGCTACGCTGTCAGGTCATGTGATGCATGCTGCAAACAGAGATGGTGCCTTCTGGTCTGAATTCCCCATGGCTGTGGCCCCAGTTAGAGGCTCAGTAAGAATAACGTGGCCCAATAACTAAAAATTAAAACAAAAATCTCTCTGGTGCTAAGGTAGGGATTATATCAGGATTTACTGATCAATTTCCTAGCCATTTTTTTCCAAGTTCAACATCAGAACAAGCAAAGACTTGGTAGCCTTTTAAAATCATCAGGAACAGGGGCACAATCTTGCATTTTATCCCCCACATCCTAATTGCACCAGTGCAACAGAGGCAACAGAGTCTCATGTGATCATCTGAGATAAAGGTGAGAAATTAAAGGACAAACAAGTGACTCATTTAAATGGATATGCTTCAGACAAGAGAAACCTGTAATTTCTCTTAGGCGTGCTTGACTTGACAGACCCATCGCAGGGTGAATCACAGACTTACACAAGCCTCGAAACCCTGGGCAGTTTTACAGTTCTCAGGCCGGCCTCTCACAACGCACAGCTGGTTTGCTCGGGGCCTCCCAGATCTCCCTTTCAAAAAAAAATGGAGAAGAAGGAACACTGCCACTGAAGGGTCACGTTTAGCCACGGGAGGTGCCAGGGCGGACACCCGTGATGGTGGGGCCCGGTGGTGGGAAGCTCAGCACCGACCTGCCTGCTGTACTGCTCTGTCTCCTGGATGCTGTGAGTACAGATGCCACACAGACACCTTTTTCTTCCTGAAGACAGGGTTGCTTTTGCACATATTGCAGAATGGGGAAGCTATGTAATTTAGGATGGTGTTTTCTGGAATGCTTGATTAGCTAGGAACCGTTCCTAATATTACCTAGAAATTAGCTCAAGTTTGGATTATTTTCTGTCTTCTTTACATTTGTTTATCTTTAAAAAGTCATTTGTCAGGCTCTAAACTGCTCACTCCTAGGAGTGAAAATGCAAAACACCTTGTCAAGCAATTAGACTCTCTTCTCCATTTGTCCCCTTGCTTGATAAATGGATGAGCAAACTAGCTTTTGATCCCCTTCCTTTAGGCTGAATGTAAAGCTAGATTTTTTTTTAAATAAGGCTTTTTTCCCCCCTTGAGCCTTCATCTGAGAGAGGACATGTCTGCATGTCTGCTGACCCTAGAAAGAGAGAGGAAGGAGGGGAGAGAAGGACAGAGTTGGAGGGAGAGTGGGTTGGTGAGAGAGAGAGAAAGAGAGACACTAATGTGAGAAAGCCATCGATTGGTTGCTTTCTGTATGTGAACTGACTGGGCATCAAACCTGCAACCTACTATGTGCCCTGATGGGGGATCGAATCTACAACCTTCTGGTGTACGGGATGATGCTCCAACCTATTGAGCAACACGGCCAGGGCAATATATCATTCTTTAGTAGTTTTTTTTTCTCCTAGTGGGCTGAAACAAAGCTGTCTTTATATCAACATACAAGGAAACATTTCTTCCAGTTAGAAATTGCTAAATCCTTTTTGCAAAAGCATCTCCCCTCATTTTGAGTGACCACTAGTACAGCACTGGATGTTTATGTTTCTTATACTCTGAAGACAATTGTAGGAGTGCAAAAATGTCTCGTCATAAGGTGCAAATTTTTTAAAGTGTCAGCACGCCAGTGAGCTTTCTTCATGGAGCAGAGCAGTTGCTCAGTATGTCAATTTCATTAAAATCATTTCAGTATCAACATAGTTGGTTAAGATGCTGAATGCCTTCCAACTCTGAAATTGCGTGATTCTTCAAACTTGTCAGCATTTGAATCCACACTGCAATTCTCAGAAAAGATATTGAGCTACAAAGAGATTGGCTGGAAGCCATCTAAAGTAGCCAAGGATGAGATGTTTCTGATTCTAATAGATCTTTTTTATCTTTCTTTCCCCCAAGGCTCTTTATGAAACAGCTCATCCATGGCAAGGGAGAACTGGTAAGAGTGACTGCATACACTGTGCTATTGAGGCCAAGAAACACTAACTCACTAGACCTCTGACCATATAATCAGAGTTCTAATTACACTAGTGGAATAGTGGGGCATGCAGTTATGAAATTGGGCTTTGGGGAAGAAAGCACATATACATACCTCGAAATGTGGGCCACCTAACTCTAAGTTTCTCATTCCCCACTTAACCTTCCAGAACTGATCCTTCCCACCAATGGGACTGGCCAAGAAGTGTGAGGTGAGATGCCACCTAGAAGATTAGCAAACCACTGAGAATATGCCCTCTCTGTCACCTTGGGTGGAGTTTGATAGAGAGAAACACTTTGGGAAAGTGTTTACTTGGTTTATAGGAATTCCCATGCAGCTTACCTTAGGGTGTCATTTTGCATGAAGAGTTTTGGGAGATCACACCTTTGGAGGTGCTCCTTCCTCCCTGACTGCAGTTACAGTTCCCAGGCTGTACCTCTTTATTTTCTTTGGGAGTCCCAGTGCCAGCTCTCACTCAGCCTGTTCAGACAGGCGGGGTGCCTGAGGCTGTGTGAGTCATGCCCTACAACTCCATCAGAAATCAGCTCCATGACCAACAGAGGCAAATTGTATTTTTGAATTCCAACTCATTCAGAAACTCAGCTCTAAGTACAAGGGAGACGGGACAAATAAGAGATGCTTACACTGCCATGCTCGTGGCTGACATCACTCATCTGGCATGAAATTACGTCTTGTTAAACCTTGATGGGACCTTACAATCCATTTTAACATGAGGCTCAAGATCCAATGAAAAGGATGTCCATAATAGGCTAGGAGCATTTCTACTTACATTACCACGTTCCAAGATTATCTGGAGTCGCAAATATGCTCACACCTGCCACTCTGAGATAGGTTGCCTTGTGATTCTAAAACAAAAACTCTACAAACTGTCATTGCTCTCTGCAAGGGTCATTCATTCATTCTTTCACTTGTCCACAACTGTGTACTGAGTATCTTTTAAGTAACTTATGCTCTGCTGGGGTACCAGGGACAGAAAAGCTTCCCTCCGTGTTCACATCCTCACTGATGGTAATATGATTTATTATTTTATTTTTTAAAATTTTTTGCCTATTCTACTAGATGCAGCCCAATTTCTCTTAGGCTCTGGGGCTAAAGTACTAAGTCTTGTGATCTGTCAACCTCTCGTCATTACAACTTAGAGTCACAGCAGTGGCGTGGGAAGCACCTTCTCTGTGAATCCCCTGGGAGGTTGATCCTGAGATACATTTCCTCTGGAACTATTGGATCTAGCTATATTTTCCTTTAAGCCTCTGAGGACAGCAAATACTATTTTCTCTTTCTTATAGCAGGGAGCCTGGCTTCCATTCGGCAGGCTAGAATGCTGTTTATTATTAAATGAGAAACAAAAGTGGATGTTAGTGAGTAATCACACTTTTACAAGGATGCACAGAGAGAGGCAGGTTGTGGAAGCAGGGGTAAGAAATTTGGGACATTATTTTTATAGGTCCTAAGAAGCTGTCATCCCAGGTTCCTTGTTGCTTTTATCTCTGAAATGTTCAGAAACTTTGGGAACAAGATACGGAGTTGCCTTTACTGGATGACTGACTAGTATACAAGCTGGAGGGAGCTTCTTTGTAAATCCCACATAACTCTTTAAATGTAAAATTGCCACAGTCTCTGGCAGGAGTTATTTTGCATCTTGTTTCCTCTTGTTTCCTCTTCTTCTGTTTTGTTCTCCATTTCTGAGTCTACCTTCCTTTCCCTGGTGACCATTCCAAACTTCTCATTTCCGTGTCACCTGTGCCTGCTGTCTGTCACCTCTCCACCCTGAGCTGCATGTTTCAGGGTAATTTTGACTCACTGTACAAGTTAAAGATGACCTGTCCACTGCCGATCAGGATTGATTAAAGCCAGGACTATTACCCTATGATGGGTGACTTTAGGTCCAGAGAGAGGAACTTCACGGAACTTCTCTGAAAGTATCAGCACAGGGACGGGCATGGGGCACATGCCCAATAAGTGCACGTAGAGCCTGAGTTGGGACAGGTTAATGGGTCACACTCCAAGATAACACCTAGTCCTCGAGCATCAGCCTTAAGTCCTTTGGTGACCAAGTAAATTAAGTAAAACCTGGGGCAAACAGTTGTTTTACTGGAATAATCCCCAGAATTTTTGCTATGCATGTGTTTGTGAGAGGCAGCAGTGGTGATGGTGGTACACATTGTTTCCCAAACTGATCTGACTTTGGGACCCCTTAGGCTTTTGTGAGACCAGTGTTCCACAGAAACCCACTTTAGGACATGATATGTTGGCTAAATATAATACATAAAACTCTATATTGTTTTCCTACTAAAAGTAAAGCAGGCAGACTTGCTGAATTCATAGAACATTTAAGTCAGTGTGTACCACTGTCCTTAGTGTTTTTCTTCCATTTTTTAGTTCTTTAGTTTGGTGCCTGCTACGATCTGTCATTAAACAAATGGTGAATCCCAGTCATAACTATGCCTACTACAGCATTATTCTGTCAGGATTGTTGTTTACTGTTTTTACTCCCCCACTAGGTACTAAGATCTTGATTGATTCATTGAGTTTTAATGATCAAAGTTTATTTTATGAATGTAACATTTGGGGATCCATACAAAATGAGACCCTAGGATCTTGATTTAAATAGCCAGTGA